GCTGGGGGGGGGGGAGAGGGGCGCCGGGCGGACCGCCGCCTTGAGGCAAGAGCCCGGCCTCCTTCGCCCTCCTCCCTCCCTCCCCCGGGATAAAACCGCAGCCCTGGCGCGGCGGCCAAACTCTCAAGCCGGTTCGTCCTCCGGGTGCCTCTTGGGTGATGGCAGCGCTGGGAGCCCTAGTGAAGAAAGTGTGGAGTATCCGCAGCTTCTTGGTGCTTCTCTGCTCCCCGCTGGTCCTGCTGCCCATCCTCTTCAGCCTGCCCCCCAAGGTAACCTTTCAGCCGCCGCCCCCCCACCGGCTAGCAGTGCCCCCAATGACCAGCTTCCTCCTCCCCCCCTCCCAGCCCCCCACAGAGACTTTTAAAAGTTCATCTTGTTTTCCAGCTTCTTTACAAAAGTCCCCCCCCCCCCACGCGGTGTGCCTCCATTTTCGTCGGAATGATCAGAGGCAGTATATCTTTGGATGTCAGGGGACAGGCGAGCAACAGTTTGGCCTTCCTGCCTTTGGGAGACTTTTGGTTGGCTGCTGTAGGAATCAAAATCCTGGACCAGATGGGTCTGAACCACCAGGGCTTTTCTTATCAACCTCTGCTTTGCTGGACCATGGGGTAAAGGGGGGGGGGGCTCACTTCTGCATTTCTGTTGTTCGAAGAGCTTATCCTGGTGACTTTCTGTCTGTGATCACTGTCGGGTCGTTGTTATGTAGGAGTCCTGCCGGAAAATGGTCATGCCTATGACTCAAGAAAAACCCGTCTTTCTGCCTCAAGAAGAAACACCCACAGTTCATCACCAGTCTTCCATTCTGTTCCTGTTTTCTGCCCTTGTTCTGCTTATCCTGGGTTCTGGCTTCCTTAGTAAGCACTCCTTTTTAATGTGCTCAAGGGAATCCTTCATCCTGGAGCCGCTAAGAAACAGTAGCCGCTCCTTTGCCCTTGTGCAGGGCCCCTGTCCCTCCCACACCGCCTCTGGACAGTTGCTGTCGGTGTCAGCGTACCCTGAAGCGGGGTTTTTGCTAGGGCCCGTGGCTTCTGGTGGCGCCCCACCATTGCTGACTCCCTACTTAGGCATCTCCTCTGATGTCTGCCCTTGCACCCTTCCAGTGCCTGCATGTGAGCACCTACCATCTGTGCTCTCAGCTGCGTACACTGCCTAGCGCTGCTGGAGAAGGCATGTGGGCGGTCCACAAAGCATCAGTGTTCGTGGTAGCCATGGCAGGGGCACTTCTAGGTGCATCCACCGCCTGGTGTCATTGGGGAAAGGGCAGGCAGGCAGGCAGTGTGGACAGCTGTTACTGCAGGGGGTGGGAGAGCTTGCAAGTGGGTAGGAGAATGATTTGCAAGCAAGTGGGGGCCCCTGGGAACTCTCTGGGAGCCCCAAAACCTGGAATGAGCCCTACCTTTCTTTCTACCTTTACTATTCCTTGCTTCTGTAATGACTATCCTCTCTGGAATCCCAACCAAAGGGATTTTAGAGTAGCTCTCCCCCCACCAGGACTCTCCACAACAGATTGCACATGTATGCCCTTGACTACTTGTGGGGGGCCATTAAGGGTGATCCTCTGAAGGTAGCCCAGGTGCCCCCTTTGAAGCCTCTGATGATCATTTCCGCCTTACGCTCCCACCAAGAGCACTTGCAGACATTGAGCCAGTCTGGTGTGGTGGTTAAGATGTGTTGGCAGGAAGAGTAATTTGGAGAGCTGGGTTTGATTCCCCACTCCTCCTCCACATGAAACCTGCCGAAGTGACCTTGGGCCAGACACGGCCGTTCTCTTGGAACTCTCTCAGCCCCACCTGCCTCATAATGTGCCTGTTGTGGGGAGAGGAAGGGGAGCCGCTTTGAGATTCCTCAGGGTAGAGAAAAGCAGGGTATAAAAATGAACTCTTCTTCATTGCCTATGAGAGAAGAAACAACACACCCTGGAGATCAACGTGGTTTCCCTTTCTCTTACTTCTGAAAGGAATTTCCCCGAGAAAACTCTGTCAAGAAAATCTGTCCTCCCTCAGACACTTCCTTTCTTCCCTTCTCCTTTTCTTCCCTCTAGTTTTTTTAGTCCGATCTACCTGGCATCCCCTTGAAATCTAACCCAAGGACACTTTCTTGCTGGCCCCCTCCAGGGGTACTGCCTTCTGAAAATGAACCTGTCACGAACCTGTCACTCTCTCCATAACAGACTCTGGACCAAAGTACACATGTGGGTTGTTACTGGTTCCGTGGACCCAGCTCAGCTACACATAAAGGAGAGCTCAAACAGACTTGGAACTTTGCTGGGGGGCCCCCGCCGCCATTTTTCCATGTGGCAACAGAAACAGGGAGGTGTTATTTTCCTGTTTTTGCTGCTCCGTGTGTAGTATTCTGTGCTACTCTATTGGAGTGCCAGATGGCCTTGTTTCATGAAAATGCTCCCCTCAATCCAGAGCATTACATTGCCTTCCAAGATCGATGGCTGTCCTCGATTTCTAGAGAACGCTCCCTCTATCCTTCCCGGTAGCTTAGAAATCCCAATTCCGGATTGCAATCTTTTCATCCAGCCACTGTGTTTAAAGACTGGTCCTCCCTCCCTCTCCCTCTCGTCACAAGTCTCGCTAAGCCTTTTCTTCCTTATCCATGCATTGTTTCATGCCAGTTCTCCAAGCTAGTCAGACCAATAAAAAGCACCATTTCACTAATTCTTGGTGTCTTGTTTCTCAGTCAGTCTGCTTCCAAGACCTACTTGAGTCCCTTCCAGTTGGCTCACAGATAGGGGCTCATTCGCAGAAGATGCTCCCAAAGTGCGGAGGCAACAAAGACTATGTCCTGGCTTCCCCACGCAGCAGAATGAAGGGGCAGAATGCAGAAGTAATAGAGTGAAGTGTACCATTTCGGACTGCAGGTGTAGAAGCACATTTTAAAATTCTCCCTGTGGGGCAAAAATCCTGGGAAATAGAAAACCAACACAGCGGCCGGGGGAGGGGGGGCGACACATAAGAAGAGCCCTGCTAGGTTAGACCAGTGATCCATCTGATCCAGCATCCTGTCTCACACAGCGGCCAACCAGTTGTTGCCTCCAGGCAGGAGGATTCAGAGGTTTATTGCCTCTGTTGTGTGTGTGTGTGTCCCACATTCAGGCCAGGCAGAAAAAAATCCAGGCTGAAATTTCCTTGATGTGTTGGCAGGAATGGGGTGGGAAGGTTTGGTGGGGGTTGAAAAAAAATGTGAGAGAGCATTCAAAGGTGGCATACTTCACCTCTAGTCTGAAGCGACAGACTCCATTCTATCAAATCAGCATGCCACCATTCCACCTTAGCATTCCATCTAGCAGGAAATTTTACTGATGGAAGGCAGGCCAGGTCACAGTTTTTGCTGATTCCTCCTTCCTGCAGCAGGCTCCTGACACCCACCCCCCTCATGCCAGGGGACCTCAGGAGCAACATTTCATGAGGAATTTGGCGCTATAGTGGGAGGTAGCAGGTGGCACTGCCTGTGCCAACTGATGGAAATTTCTTTGGTCAGTGCAGATTTTGTACAGGATCCAGCCCCATGCATAGATCCAGCCTATGACAACTTCCTGTGCAGTTAGGCCCCATAACAATTGCAGACTTGGGCTTGCCATCAGACACAATATCCCACCCTCCTTTGTTTGTTTATGGATAAAGAGCCTGATAAAAAGCTCTCATGAGCTTAAAAGCTTGTGCTCAGTTGGTCCTAGTAAAGATACTATGCTATACTTGCTTTCGGACTTTTGGTACTTACTGACCTGCAATTTCTATCGCAATTCCTTGCAATTGGTCCTATATCTTAGCACTTTAGGTTGCCTCAACAACACTGGGACATGGCTTCAGTCATGTCCGGCTCTTTGCGATTCTATGGGCCAGCTCTCTCCACGTTTTCCAATCCTGTACTATTTCTTTGAGTCGTTCCATGCTCAGGCTGGTGTTGACTTTTATGGTGTCTAGCCACTGTGTTCTTTGGTGGCCTGGTTTCCTTTTGCTGCTAACCAATCCAAGCATAACTGCTTTTTCTAGTTCTAGTCAGTTCTTCGGCATGACATGTCCAAAATAACTTAATCACAGTTTTATGATTTTTCTTTCCAATGACATGTCTGGTTTTATGTGCTCCAGAACTTGCTTGTTTGTCACCTCTGCTGTCCAATGAATGTGCAGGAGCCTTCTCTGCTCAACTGAGCCACTGCAAATGAGTCGATTTCCCTCCTGTCTTGCTTCTTCATGGTCTAGCTATCACAGCCATAAGTTGCTATGGGGAACACAATAGCACATACTAATCTGCATTTGGCTGCCCTTGCTCTTCCATATTCAATTCATGCTCATCATTGCTGTGCGACCCAACGTGATTCGATGTTTTATTTCTGGACTGCATTCGCTGTTTTGGTTGATCTGTGATCCTAAGAAAGTGAATTCTTCCAGACATTCCATCTCTTCATCATCAACTGTTATTTTGACGTTTCTCTTCATCTCGGTAGTCATGAACTTGGTCTTTTTGATGTTTAGGAAGAGGCCAAACTTCTCACTTTCCTCTTTGGTTTTCTTGATCAGGTATTCCAGGCCTTCTTTAGTTTCCGAAAGGAGGGTTGTGTTGTCAGCCTATCGAAGATTGTTGATCTTCCTTCCTCCAGTCTTTACCTGATTTTTGACTCTTCCAGCTCTTACTTCTTCATGATTGTTTCGGCATACAGGCTGAATAGGAAAGGTGAAAGACTGCAACCTTGTCATACTCCTTTTTCTATCTTGAACCAATCAGTATCTCCATATGGTGTTCGCACAGTATGACAAGGTTGCATTGGTACGACAAGGAGTACGACAAGGCTGCATGGTAGAGGCTTTTAATTATAGATCCCCCCTCCATTTAAAACATGTAGTGGTTATACATATCAGTGTCGAAAAATGAAAATATATTAAAGAATCAGATTGGCTACCTTCTCTTTCTCTTTTTGCCAAGTGCCGATGGAGGCTTTCAGACAGACCCATGGCCAGGATTTTTTTTTAATTTGGGGGGCCTTTAAAGAAGTCCGGGGGGCACCCCGAACACCCCCCCAAGGGAGTGCCGTGAATAAAATAAAAAAATTGGAAGTCGGGGGGCCTGGGCTGGATGGGAAGTCAGGGGCCCTTGGTAGTAAGTTGGGGGGCCAGGCCCCAGGATGCCCTACTGTAGCTATGGGCCTGCTTTCAGATGAGCATTCATAAGCCCCAAACAGACCAGCAGTTGCGCGCATATAGTTTTGCCTGCTGTTCCTGACCCTAAATCTAGCAGTGCCATCTAAGCAGGCACCCTTCTA